ATACATATTTTGGTTCTGTCTTCACAAAGGAAGTTGTCAGTAATCACTCACTAACACATATGATTCACCACTTAGGAAATTCCGTGTCACAAAGGAGGACACAAATAAAGTTCCAAAAATGTTCAGCAACATTGGGTCTAGGGAGAGGGAGGAACTAAAAGAAAGTGATATTAGTAAGGAAATGGTGTTGGGGGAATTGATGGGATTAATCACCAGGGCCCAATAATCTATACCCCAGAGTACTTGAGGAAGTGGCCCACTGATGATCATAGAATCCCTACAGTGCGGAAACAGGCCCTTTGGCCCAAGAAGTCGACACTGACTCTCGGAGCATCCCGCCCAGACCCATCCCCCTATAACCCACACATCCCTGAACACTATGGGCAATTTAGCATGGCCAATCCACCTAGCCTGCACATCTTTGGATTGTGGGAGGAAACCAGAGCACCCAAAGGAAACCCACGCAGACACAGGGAGAACATGCAAACTCACATAGGCAGTCGTCCGAGGGTGGAATCGAACCTGGGTCCCTGGCGCTGTGAGGCTGCAGTGCTAACCACTGAGCCACCGTGCTGCCCCTAATCATCTTTCAGGATTCTATAGACTCTGGAACAGTTCCGATGGACTGGCATTGGGTGGGGTAGCTGATGTAATATCACTATTTTAAAAAAAGCAGTGGAGAGAAACAGGCCAGGCAGTTACAGATCAATTAGCCTGACATTGTATTACTAAAATGCTAGATTCCGTTATAAAAGATCTAATAGCAAAGCACTTGAAAAACAGTGTCAGGATCAGACAGACCAATCATGGATTTACAAAAAGGGAATCATGCTTGACAAAATTTTGAGGGCATGTAACTAATAGAGTTGATAAGGGAGAGCCAGTGGGTGTGGCTTACTTGGAATTTCAGAAGGCTTTCAATAAAGTCCCACATAGGAAATTAGTATGTAAAATGAATATATTGCTACTTCACCTGGAAAGAGTGTTTGGAGCCTTTGACAGTCCGGAAGAAGGAGATAAAAAGAAAGGATTTGCATTGGAAGGTCTCTTGGGAAGTAAATGAGCTGTGTGGGTATCACAGACTGGATCAGGGTCTTGTGGAGCAATTGATTTCTTTGGAATGCTGCCGAGTGATCGGGGAATGGAAAGTGTGTTGGGAGGTGACATCACACTGGAGATGACAGAAATGGCAGAGGCAGCATGGAGGCTCAGTGGTTAACACAGCTGTTTCACAGCACCAGGGACCTGGGTTCAACACCAGAATTAGGCAACTGTCTGTGTGGAGTTTGCACATTCTCCCCTTGACTGTACGAGTTTCCTTTGAGTGCTGTGGTTTCCTCCCACAGTCCAAGGATGTGCAAGTTAGGTGGATTAGCCATGCTACATTACTCATGGTGTCCAGGGATGTGCAACCTAGGTGGATTGCCATGGGAAATACAAGGTTACAGGGATGTGGGAGGTCTGGGTGGGATGTTCCTTAGAGGGTCAGCGTGGACTTGATGGGCTAAATGGCCTGCTTCCAGGGATTCTATGATGATCATTTGAATGTGGAGGTTGATAACAGAGAAACAGAGAGCAAGGGGAACCCCATCATGATTCTCTGAAGGGAGAGTGACAGCATGTTGAAAGTGGGTTAGGCAGGATTGTGAAATTGCTGACTATTGTGGGAAGGGAATCCCCATTTAAAAAAAATGTTTCAGAAGTGCTTGGACCATCAGAACAGATTGGACAGAAATAAAGAATCTGGAAGAACAGAATGGAGTCCTTTCTAGGCTTTGACTGGCAGCTCTGGGGTGCAGAATCTTCGATGACTCAATTACCGCAGTAAAGGGAGACGATATCTTAGAAATTAGCCCATGTACATCAAACTTTAAAACAAAAAGGGAGCAATCACATTGTTTGGGGCTTTATAATACACCCCCAGCAGTCAGGGAGAAAATAGAACTAGAGCAGTGGGAGTCATGCAAAAAACGAAATAGAGAGAGTGTAGGGCCAATATTTTCCTGTAAAAGTGAATGGTGGTGCCAGTAAGTCCACAGAAGCCTGAATGTCAAGGGATGTACAGAATTGGATACGAAAAAAAAAACACAAATACAGCAGGTCTGAATAGCAGAAGCCCCAGAAGTGTATAGAAAGTGAAGGAGTCACTCAAAAAAGAAATTAATAGAGCATAGAGCAGGTATTAAAGGAAAATCCAAAGACATTTTAAGGCAGAAAGGGTACCCAGGGTGAGAGGACATCCCAAAGTGGCAACATGTGTGTAAAGATGGAAGATGCAGGTGAGGTTTTGAATGAGTACGTTGCGTCCGTACTTACTATAGAGAAGGACAATGTAGGTATAGAAATCAGGCATGGGGACTGAGTGGAAAGAATAACAGCTGGATTACAGGGAATGGAATGAAATAGTCAAGGGTGTGTGGTTAATTTTGGTAAAGGAAAATCCATAATATAGGATAAAGGAAAACACTAGACAGCATTATCTGAACAGATATAATGCAGGAAGGAGGAAATACAATAGAATCATTTTTAGAAGTTGGGTGGAAGGAATTGTAATCCAGCTAGCTCTGGGAGTACACAGTGTGGAGCTGGAGGAACACAGCAGGCCAGGTAGCATCAGAGGAGCAGGAGAACGGACTTTTCGGGTCGGGACCCTTCCTGCTCCTCTGATACTGCCTGGCCTGCTGTGTTCCTCCAGCTCCACACTGTGTTATCTCAGACTCCAGCATCGACAGTTCTTACTATCTCTAGTTCTGGGAGTAGCCTTTTGGTGACTGTTAGTTGATAATCTATCCCCAGAAGTAGGGTCAGAGAAGTCAAGGACATCAAGTGTCAGAGATGGTCCATGTGAAGGGGAGAGAAAAACAGAAGTTTGAAGCAAAGTTAATAGAAGTTTCTAGCTCTGGTTCAAAGCTGGAAGCAACATCAATACAGTCATGAATGTAGTGGAAAAATAGTGAGGGAGGGGAACTGTACAGGGCTGAAACAAAGCATGATCCACATAGCCTTTAAAAGGCAGGTATATCTAGAAACATGCAAATTCCCAAAGTAACAACTAGAAGGAACTAAGCGGTGTCAAAGGACTTGAAGCTTAATCCAGGAACCGGTTCAGCCAGGTGAAAGAAGCAGGAGACAGTCCTCAGGCTTTCCTGATGGTGGATGGTGGTGGCAGTGTTCCTGACGAAAAAGGAAATGCTGAGGGAATGAAATAGGGAAGCTGAAGTGGAGGAAGACATCATGGACATACATAGAAGGAGGCTGGATGGGGCAGGGGAAGGAGAAATAGAATCGAGATTAGAATAATATCAGTTTGTTGGGTAAACACATGCTGAAATGTAAATTTACCAGGTCAATGCTGTACGTGGATCACGGGAAAGAGACAGAAGTGGGGCTATACAGTATTCCGGTGATGTTGGAGGTTGTGGGAAGGAGATGATGTCACTCTGAAGAATGAGATTGTGTTGCAAGGGATATAGGACAGGATTCCGGAAAGCTGACTCCAAACAAAGGGCAAATAAAAAACACAAGACTGCCCTTATCAGCAGGTTTAATGAAATTACCGGGGTTAGACCCGAGAGAAATGACTGCTGCAAGATCACAAATAGGTAGCTTAGAGTATGCAAAGAGATGTGAAAAACTGGAACATAATTTAAGAAGTTCAAGTTTGTGAAGAGAAGTCTGGCAAATATATTGAAAAGTTTTCCCCACAGAGTGCTCAATACATAGAACAGGGAGTTAATTTAAAAAAACTTCCAATCATTTTAGAAGAAGTTATGACCACAAGGCCATAAGTGTAGAAGCAGAAGTAGGCGATTCAGCCCATCAAGTCTGCTCCACTGTTCAATGAGATCATGGATGATCTGATAACCCTCAACTCTACTTTCCTGCCTTTTCCCCCACAACCCTTGATTCTCTTACTGCACAATCAGTCTATTCAACCTTGAATATTCTTAATTACCCAGCCTGAACATCCCTCTGCAGTAAAGACATCCACTGATTCATAACCCTCTGACAAATGTACCTTCTCATCTCTGTCTTAAATATTCAAAACCTAATTCTGAGATGATGTCCTCTGGTCCTAGACTCTCCCACAGGGGAAACAACCAGTCTGCATCTACGTTATCAAGTCCCCTATGAACCTTATATGTTTCAGTAAGGCTGCCTCTCATTCTTCTATACTCCAATGAGTACAGGCTTAATCTACTCCATCTCTCTGGTTAAGACATATCCTCCATATCTGGTATCAGCCTAGTGAACCTTCTCTGTATTTCCTCTAATACTTTTATATTTCTCCCTAGAAGAGGAGCCCAATTTCCAGCTGTGATCTGACCAGTGCCTTATATCGTTCCAGCAAAATATCCCCACTTTTACACTCCATTCGCTTTGAAATGAAGCTGATTATTTGTATCAAAGAGCTACAAAGCCTTTTTGAATAGTTTCGGACATTTATAATTAATTAACATCCACTTCAATTTACATTTTAATCTGACATGTGAATTTAAGATTGCAACTTGTAGAAAATTTCCTACATTTCATTTCTTGTTGATGAAAACCACAAAATGATAAAGGTAAAGGTAACTATATGATGAAACACTTTGTTGATGGGTTAAACAAATAATAATCCTCTGACAAATTTAAACTTTCAAAGCTCTGTTTTGACACATCAGGGTAAATTTTGATCTTATGACTGTATAAAATGGATGACTGTGAGTTGGCAATCCAATTTGTACCCTTCCCCATTTTATTTTCATTGACTTGCTGTGAAAGTCAAGATCTGCCCCAACATTTTAATCTCAGCGTTACACCTAATAGACAAAAGCAACCGGAATCCTTCATGACCCAGTAGCTCTGATAAAGCAACTGATTTTACACATTTCTAGCTGATTCAGACATATACAAAAATTGCTGAAATTTACATGTATCACATTGTTTTGGCAGTGCTTATAAAATCAACATAAGGGAGAGATCAGTACATTAGAGATTCAGTTTTTAAAATTTCTTACCATTTTGTGACTCTGTTTCACTGGTTTCAACTAAAATAATAAAAACATAAAAAGTTTAGATATTTAATTTGCATTTATCTTAAACATTTTAAAAAGTAATCAGGTCAAATGTTTATTTTATTAAAAAATCTGATTTAACAATTACCAGTTGATACACGAAAATCAAAGAGCTTTTTGGGTTATATTCTCTGCTGCAAACACTGAAGAATTTTCCAGATTGCACGTAACATGTAATACCAATTTCAAACAAATGTAAGAAATCTGCATAACTATTTGGCGCTTTGTTGTGTCTAACGTTCTTTGCTTTTGTGGGAAGAGCGGAAAGATCTCCCTTGCACCCTAAATGTTAAGAAATTTTAAACGCATCTTATAAAATGGCTCAGAACTTTTCTGTGGTTCAGAACATACAGGAACTTTTTCTGGTCTTCTGCTCACGTTTACGTTGTAAAATCCTGGGAATGAAAGAACCTTTAGGTTTTACTTACGTAGTACCAAAGACAGAATTGGAAAGATGACTTTCAACATCTTTCTTGCAATTATCAAAGAATAGCTTTCCTGTAAGAACACAACCAAGTGACTAATCAAGTACTGTACTGGATCTGAGGCTGGTTCAACGCATTGTTGAAAAACGCAAGTGACATGATCAAGAGTGGGTGGGGGGGTAAAAACAGGAATACCGTATTTCTCAGACTAAAAGCAGTCCCTAAATTAGAAGGCAGAAGCTCAGTTTGAAGAAACTAAGTCATTCAACTTAAATAGGGGTTACATTATCATGTTTTATTTGCACTGCACATGTAATCAACCAATTGAGAGAAAAGCTTTTTATGGGTTTATTTTATAACATCCTTTACCTTTCCTGGGACTCTGTTTTACTGGCTTTGACTGAAGTAATTAAAATGCAATGAAGTTTAGACGTTTAGATTTACAGGGGCTGGTAGTAAAACAGCATTCCCCATTTCTGAAGAAGGGTCCCGACCCGAAACGTCAGCTTTCCTGCTCCTCTGATGCTGCTTGGCCTGCTGTGTTCATCCAGCTCTACACCTTGTTATCTCAGATTCTCCAGCATCGGCAGTTCTTACTATCTCTGAGCATTGCTGTCCTGCCTCCTGGAGGTTAAGATGTAAGATGGAAAAGCTGACAGCAAATTGATTATAAAACAGCTCAAATCAGTATAAAACAACAATGAAACAAATATCGCAGAGAAACTATGTTACTTTGCAAGAGCAGAAATAGTGTTTTGCCTCGAGAGATAGGAAACTATGCCACCCCCACCTATTTATACTTATTGAAGGACTATCTCAAAAGATTATGTTTTGTGTAAGAATAAAGTTGACAGATTTAGGATTATTAGAAATCAGGGATCTATAGTTGTGCACGAGTTTTGTAGTTTGAGATGACTGCCCGAATTCTCAACTCCTACTTGCATTTTTGTTTTGATGAAAAAATTGATAGGGGTGAAAATGTCCACATCTGTACTGTGTTGGGTTGACTCCTGCTTAAGTCCACAAGTCGCCCAGAGTGTCCGGGGACTAGGCAATACACTGTGTGTTTAATGAATTATGAGAAAACAGCCAAAGAGGCAGTCACCAAGGGCGACTGATCTGTATCTCTTGCTAATGTGGTTACAAAACGTCACCTCTGGGTTGTCGCAGTTTATCTACCGCAATGTTGGATGAAAATTGGGGAACTCCAGCATCGATTGGCCTACTCCTGCTCCTATTTTCTATGTTTCTATCTGGAAGGAGAGATACAGTGTATTGGAAAAGGTTGTCAATAGCTGATGTTTAGAGGAGGGACAATGAGTGAAGGTAATTTGTTGCAGGTGCCTGTGCTATTGGAAGATTAAAGCATGCAAAAGGATGTTGAACTAAAAATTGTCATAAAGTTGTAACATATGAACTATTACTTTTTATATTGGCTGCTTTCATAGCTGAGACTTTGATTCAAAAGAAAATCCTTTTAATGAGTTTTTATTGGGTTTACGCGGACTTTTAAAGTGGCCACAGTAGTCATCCAGCTGGAAGCTGGCCAGGGAAGGGAATTTTAAAAATGGTCACCTAAACATCCACTCACAATCTGTGGCCCCACCACAGTTTCAATAATATCTTTATAGTTTGGCAATGGCAGATCAAAACTCCTTTGTTATTATGGATTGCCTCCGTCATGTGCCAATAACCAGCTGTTTCATGATCAAACCTTATGTGGGAAGAACTAACATAATTATAAGCTTGTCTATTTGTTACAGACTGGCAACAACATCAAAAAGCTGGGCAGCATGGAATAATAACTCAGATGCTTGCTCTCAATAGTCTTGTCATCCTTGAGCCCTACCACTGAACTTTAAAAAAAGGAACCTCACAGCACCCACTCTGGGAAAAGGACTAATTGCGGTTTAAAAGACAGTTGTTCTGCTGTTGACAAGCTTTTGTGGTGCAGGGGTATTGTCCCTATCTCTGAATCAGGAGGCCTGGATTTAAATCCCACCTGCTCCAGGTGTGTAAGAACATCTCTGAACAAGTTGATTAGAAAATAATCTACACTAGTCACACCACCACCAAACTTCCAGAAAACTAAAGGAACTTTGGAGTGTATCCTTTTTGCTATAAATTTGAACTTTTATCAATTCCATCCCCCTCACCCTGTAACTTGTTCTAACTGTTTGCATGCTAGTATGTTTGTGTCTGTATATTGCAGGCTTTGGGACAGGTTTTATCTCTTAATTTTGTTTACGCTTATATTTGAGTAAGTTTTTTTTAATAATAAAACTGTCTTTCTAATTCCTAACTCAAAAGATCTGACTGACTTGTTTCATCACATCTTTACACATGGTTAAGTATGTAATGAGTTGAAGAAAAATACTTTTTTAAAAAAAAATCTAATTCTGTTATAGTAAATCTCAGAAGTGAAAATGAGGAATTTATTCATGCCTCCAGACTTGGCTGTAACTACGTTCTCTATGTTCCCCCTTGTGGCTAAACGTGTTCATTTAAAAACGTTTCCAAACAATTTTTATAATTCTTATGGGATGAAAAAGCTTTTGATTACTGATCAATAAGTTATCTATTTGTTTAAACTATGCTGTAAAACATAGGTGCTGGGATAAGAAGATGGCTTGCTCCAAAAAGATGGCTTTTGATTGTAGATTTCTGAAGATTCTGTTTTTGTTTCTCTGCTTTGAGCTTGCATTATCAGAATGTGGTAATTTGTTCCTCCTGTGATCATTTGAAACATTTAATTCCTAGTCCACAATGAAGGAAAGGACTTTCTGGCTTGAAGAAATCACATAACTGTTTTATCCTAATGTTGCACAAGAGAAGATGTATCTGAAATGTCACAGAAACATTCACCTTTCTCCATGTTTAAAGTAAATATGTCGGTCTTGATGTACACCTTTCAATATTTGCAACAATCGTTTAAATGACAAGACCAAGGGATATTCAACGGCTATCAAAATACCATCAACACGTCTCCTGTCCCACTAGGGCCAAACGTCTTGCACCATTACTACACAACCATCAAAAATGCCTACTGCTCCATATCCCATCCACACCTTGGAAATCACAATGCTGTGTTCCTGCACCCAGTTTACAAACAGAAGTTGAAAAGTGAGGACCCAATATGAAAATAGTACAGTGCTGGTCTGAAGTAGTGGAAGAGCTTCTGTGGGACTGCTTGGACTGGTTCATATTCAAGAATTGAGCCATCACTGTCATGGTCTTCGTTAGCAAGGGTATTGAGGACTGCGTGCCAGAGAAGTCAATCTGTGTTCCCCAACCGGAATCTACGGATGAACTGGGATATCCATTGCCTACTGAAGACCAGGTGTGCGGTGTTCAAATCAGACGACCCTGACCTTTACTGGAAATCCAGATGCGACCTCCGTAAGGCCATTAGAAATGCCAAGAGGCAATACCATACTCAGTTAGAAACCCAAACTAACCACATGGACACCTGTCATCTGTAGCAAGGCCTACACAGTGAAGCAGAACAGAATCGTTGATAAAAATACATCCCTCCCTGGTGCGTTTAATGCATTTTACGCTTGGTTTGAACAGCAAAATCTGCCCAGACAGCCTAATGCACCTGTTCCCTCAGTCACCGCTGCAGATGTCAGATCAGCCTTCTTAGGACAAAGAACAAAGAACAATACAGCACAGGTACAGACCCTTCAGCCCTCCAAACCTGCACTGACACATTTTGCCTTACCGTACTAAAACTGTCTTCACTTACAGGATCCGTATCCCTCTATTCCCTTCCATCACATGTAGCTACTTAAACAATGGGACAACACTGCCCATTCTCCAGTCCTCTGGGACCTCACCTGTGGCCAAAGAGGATACAAAGATGTCTGTCAATGCTCCAGCGATTTGTTCTCTCGCCTCCCTCAATATTCTGGCATAGATTCCATCAGGATCCAGGGACTTATCTATCTTAATACTTCTTAAGATGCATAACACCCATCCCTGAGATCATCCACAATTTTTTTCTCTTTGGTGAACAGTGACACAAAGTGTTCGTGTAGGACCTTATCTCAGATCACAGAGTATATCCAAGCGGTTCTTTTCGGATTTGGTTAAATGCAGTTAAAAGAAGGCTCAACAACAGCAATTTGCTTAAATATGAAAATTTATTGAGTAATAATAAAAGACGAAAAAAGAAAAGGACATTTATTAAAAAGAATGGAAAAGAGAGGAAAAATCAATAAGCCTCACACCCTTCTGCCCGTCGGGGACCCCTCGTTTGGCTGCTGGTCTGGAGGCTGAGGTTGTTCCTGGCACCCTTCGCGATCCTGGTCCGAGGTGAAGTCTGGCGTCTTCGAATGAAACTCTCTCTCATACCGTGTAACAAACAGCCAAGCACAGAAAAACAACTACAGGAAAACACTTTGATTGCGCCAGCTTTGACATGTATAGGAATGTTCACAGGACTCATTCAAAGCCATGCAGCTGTTGAATATCATCAAAAAGTTTAGCCCTTCAGCCCATCTATACAGACTTCACCTACCTCTTCCAGTTCTGCACATAGATTCCTTCCTTTGTCCTTGAGTAGGCTAACCCTTTCTCTGGCTATCCTCTTGGGATTCTCCTTAATCCTGTTTGCTAACAGCTTTTCATGACCTCTTTTAGCCCTTCTAATTCCTTGTTTAAGTTCTTTCCTACTTTTCTTATACACTTCAAGGGCTTCATCAGTTCCCATCCTCCTAGACCTTGTGTATACTTCCTTTTCCTTTTTGACCAACATCATAACATCTCTGGTCAACCAACATTCATGTAACTTTCCATACCTATCCTTCATTTTCGCAGGAACATGCTGCTCCTGAATTCCACATGTCCGATGTGAATTTACCCACAAACAGCTGCCTCCATTCAAAATTCTCTAGTTCCTGCCTCATATTGTTGTAGGTCGCCTTCCCCCAATTTAACACCTTCACCAGAGGATTGCTGTTATCCCTATCCATGAATATCTTAAAATGTGCAGTATAAAGGTCACCGCTCCCAAAATGCTCCCTCTTCACTTATCTGGCTGGGTTCATTTCCCAAAACCAAGTCCAGTATAATCCCTTCCCTGGTTGGACTGTTTACATAGTTTGTCGAGAAACCCTCCTGAATGGTCCTTAC